AGCACGACCTCGACTCCCCCACCCCGCGCCCCCCTCCCCCGACCTTTTCCCTTAGCGCCCTCTTCACAACGGTTGGGAAGCTCGGGCAGGCGTTAAAAGGCCTCGTCGGGACCACTGATGAGATCTGCGTGCGGGAGTTCTTCCGCCAGCGTGAGGAGGTGGAGTTGCATCCCCAGGTGAAGCTCCTGCACGGCCTCCTCGCGCACACGGAGGAGTGCTTTCAGGTCGGGATGCGCTATTTGTTACAATTCGAGGCCGCCGACGGCGCGCTGCTGGAGAACGCCGCACTGGAGGTGAACACTATGCAGGAGCAGTTCCTCGCCCAGAAGGAGCTGCTGACGGCGCAGGAAAAGAAGGAAAAGGCCGCGGAGGAGTCGCGGAATGGGCTGCAGAACCGTCTTCAGCTTTTCATCCAACGCTGTGAGCTTTGGCAGGAGCTGCTGACAGGGTCGTTGGGGCGGGCGTCGAGGACGCTGCCGGGGTCGAAGAGGACGAGCGCGACCCAGCCGATCCACAGCGGTAGGACTTTGGAGGCCGCGCGAGCGCCAACCGCGGCGGGCCAGCAAACCCCGGTGAGTCGGATGACAAGTGTGGGCGACCCCAGTGAGCGGAGTCGGCAAACCTCCGGAACGACCTTACCCATGAATAGCATATCCCCTTCCGTGGAATCCCCCGTGTTAGGGTTTACGCAACAAAAAGGCGGACAGTTTACGACGTATGGAGGAGATTTAACGCATACGGGTGCCTCGACAGGGTCGATCTCTGATCGAGGCCCTCCCTTTGAATTTTCAGCCACTGTGCGAGGAGGCGAGGCTCATTTGTGGGATCGTTTACATTCTCATAAATTACCTCATCCTCATGCTACTGCAGAGGAAATGATGGAGCGTCGATTGGCGGCGAAATGGGGGAATCCGTATATTTTGAAACGTGCAGCCTACGAACGAATAGAGGAGATAAATCCACCAGAAAGTGCAATAACCACCACCAGTGCTCCGCACATCACCATTGCGAATGCACCAGCTGTGCATGCCGAACGTTGTACCAACTCGCAAGAGAAGCCTCCATGTGGTCCGGTAAAATCCAATATATTCACGTCAGATAACTCTTCTGGTGGATTTCGCCCCTTGTTAAATGCTCACCAGCCTTTGGTTGGGCGACAAATGAACAATACTATTTCCAATAAAGTCAACAATGAAGGGCAACGGCAAAGTATTGTTGGGAAAAGTTCAAAGCCTTTGGGGGTGAGGTATCCTTCCACTATTTCTTTGCGGGATTCTAACCGCCGTCGTTCATTACATTATCGAAATGTAAGCATCATGCAGACGGGCGGTGTAGAAGCTACGATGTGTTCCCGCCTACTCGCTCTTTTACGAAGTTTATTTAATGCTATTCCCATAGGCGGAAGTGGAGGGGAATCTATGAGTGAGCAGAATGATTCACAAACAAAGGAAAAACCAACGAGTTTGACTATTTCTTCTGAAATTTTGTCTAGAAATCCAAGTATTCAAGAACTTGTTCAAACGAATAGGGAAGTGTTGATTCCGGAAAGCGGGAGGATTGGCGAGATCCATCTTAACAACCTACAGAATGAGGGTGTTAAGGTTCGTGAAAGTATTCGTAAACTGATAAAACATCTCTCTGAACCTCAAATACCGAAGAGGGTTTCAGATACATAGCATGCTATGTTTAATCATTTAGCTTTATTACCAGATTCTTTATATATATATAAATATATATATATTTGGTATGCAACTAGGTTGTTCTCATGTGAACCGATTTATGTAAGACAATTCTATACGTTGTGTATAGGTCGACTGGGTGAGGAATTCAGATTTGATTTTCTCCCTTGATAGTTTTTACCATTTATTATTTTTTTGCTTCCATGTGAAACGAATCAAAGACAGCAACAGTAGCAGCGTTTAATGTACTTTGCTAGAGTTACTTTTCAGATGTGCGTATCATTGCGATTATAATGCTTGATTTCTAGACAATCCTTTCTCCTCTTCTTCTCCATCGTTACATTCAAATGCACATTATTTCATGTTTAACATCCTTGAAGGTATTACCCGAAAGATAGCTTTAATCTTTCCCTTTCCCTATTAAACTTTCCTTCAACCTAGAAGCGAGCCTTAGGGAGGAGGAGAAGGAGGAGGCTACCCTTACTATTCTATTCCACCCCTTATTGACAAGCAAGAATTTTCGAGTTCCTGCTTCCTTTAGAGGTACCAAAGTAACATTATAAATATCTC